GTCGCATTATATTGGCCTCTACGGTGCCTTCGGTACAAAAGGTTGATCTGCTTGGTTTCCCCGTCCTCTTCAGAACAAGCCTCATAGAAAAATATCAAAATCTTGGCGTGCGTGAAGCCGCCGCGAGAGCAGCTGTCTCGCTGCAGCACTCTGCGGTGTCTCGTCGCAGCGCGTCGCACGCACGCTGCACCAGCGCACGGCCGGGGTTGCCCCTAGCTTTCAGCGAGCAGCAGAGGTCCCAGCGCGGCGCTAGCCACCCAGCAAGCACGCGAGGGGGCCGTGATGCAGGGTCTGCGCACCTGCTCCGATGACGAGGACTGGGGCGCAGTGGGGGGTGCGAGCGAGTCGTCCGTGAACACGGATGACCTGATCGCCAATGTGGACTGGAGCATGGCGGCTGGATCAGATGATTACGAGGCTTACGGGTGCGCGGTGTCGCTTTTGTGCCGAGATCTCTTGAGCCACGGCCGCGACTAATGCTGCGAAAGTTGTAAACAGCGAGGGTGCAGGGCGCCCGGACTGGACGCGGGGCAGCTGGGGCGCTGCATTGCACGGTGGTGCTACATGGGGGTTTCGAGGTATGGGAGAGGCCGAGTCACGCCATGGTCAATTCGGGGGACAGGCCAGAAGCTTGCATCGCACCCTCTTGCAGCGCATGCCACCCCGGTTGAACGGTGCTCCTGCCACCCCCCCCCCCCTCTCATCTCGACACCTGGTCCTCTCAGGACAGTCATGTACCATGACCCGCCCCAAGCACCCACCGGTCCTCAGGGCCCGCCGCAACCAACGTCCCTGGACGCCCAGGACTGGATGTTTGACATCTGCCGAGCCCCCGGGCCTGCTGGCCCACAGCGCGATGGCGCTGAAGCGGGCGCCGGCGAGCAGGCGGCGCCGCGCACCCCGCTCGCCGTCTCCGCAGTAAACCCAGCGGCCATGCCCAGCGGCGCAGCCGCCGCGCCGGCGCGGCAGGAACCAGCCAGGCGGACAGCTGCGCAAGCGCAGCACGCGGCGGCTGGCGACGGCTGCAATGGCCAGGGGTTACAAGGGGGGCAGCATTCACTGCCGGGTGACCTTGATGCACGCCTGGACCGCCTGCTGCGCGATTTCGCCTTTGGCGGCAGCTCCTGCTCGCCCAGCGGCACGGCCAGCGCTGACCTCAACCACCGCAGCGTTGTGGCACAGCAGCAGCAGAAGCAGCAGCAGCAGCAGCAGCAGCAGCAGCAGCAGCAGCACCACCACCACCACCACCACCACCACCAGCACCACCAGCACCAGCGGGAGCAGCAGCAACAGCAGCAACAGGAGCAACAGCAGCAACAGCAGCAACAGCAGCAACAGCGGGAGCGCTGGCGGCGCAGCGCTCCAGGTTTTGGCGGCGTCGAGGGCACCCCGGACGACATCTTCGTCGAGCACGTGGCGTTTGATGCCTCGGTCGGCACCGCTGGCGCTGGCGGCCCCGGCGTGTGCGGCCGCGTCACGTTTGCCAACACGCTTCCGCCGCCGCAGGAAAACTTCCGCATGCAGTACAGCGATGGGGTGGGCGCCGCTTGGCTGACAGGGGCAAGCACCATGCAGGAGGGCGCCAGCTCCCAGCCGGCAACTAGTGCAGCCGCAACCCCAGAGGCAACGGCGGCTGCGGCGGCGGCCAGCCACGCTGGAGAGCAGCGGGGCGGCGCTACATTGGGTGGAAGTGCGGCACCTCCCGGCTTGGCTGTTGTGGGCCGACCCCTGGACCCCAATGATCCCCTGAGCTTCCGCCGCTTGACGCCTGCGGCTGCTGCAGCACCGAGGGCACGTCACCCTGGGATGTGACAGGCATGAGGTCTCGCACTGCGCAGTGTGCAGGGCCAAGGGCCCGCCAAATGTCCGCAGGTGTGTGGACAGTCTGGCGTTCAAGGTAGTAACAGCCCCTCTGTCACGACCCCTTTTGTTCTGATCCCTTTGGGTCAGGAGAAGCGTGGACTTCGAGGGGGCGGCGCTGAGGCACTCAATTGAGTTGAATCGTAACGTGCAAACTGGCCGTGCCCGCAGGCCGAATTTCGGTGTTGGCATCAAAAAGAGCTCATGGCTGGCAGCATGGCAACTGGTTGCAGGCAGCTACATCGTAGCAAGGCAGCAGTCATCTCAATTGCCCTGAGTGAGCTGTGCCAGCACCTGGGGTTTGTGTAACTTTGTGCCCAGCGACCGCAGCACTTGGCTGGGGCCACGGGAAGGCTGGTGGCAGCGGGCCTGTTGCATTGAGGCGTCGCCGTTGGTCGTAAGCCGTATAGATGAAAAGGAGCACGCTCCCGGCAGCGCACTCGTGGCCATCTCTTGGGGCCTCGGCGCCGCACTGCTGCCCGTCCGATGAGGCAAGGAAACGCACGTCCTTTGTCCAACAAGCGCAAGATCTGCAGAACTTTATTGTTTTCGGGCCCATCTAGTGCTTGTATGGGGCGGCAGGCTCGGCAGAGGAGGGCGGCTTCCCTGGAGGCTCCCTGGGCGCATGGGGCACAGCTGGTATTGAGAGCGGTGCGAGGGTGCGTCATCCAACATGGCTGCAGCCTTTGTATGCCCAAGCCCCTAAGCTCTGTAGACCCCACCAGTTGCTATCCAAGGTTTGGGTAGCCCTGCTGCGGACCGATGGGCGTTCGCCATTGTGGAGTTCATGAGTTCATGCAGGGGGGTCAGATCAGTAATGGAACACCTTGCCGACGGGCTGCAACTGTTTGGGGCGAGCACGCATTGTTATGATTAGCATGTATATGGTATACGGGCAGCAAGAAGCATCAAAAATACCTCGCGGCCGACTTGCCTGGTGGTTTCTTGACAAGATTCGGTATTTTGAGCGTCATGGGACTCTCAGTGATTTCCTAAGGAAGCCCCACACTATTAGCTGAGCTTGCAG